TTCTAGATGACAGTACATCGACCTGAATATTTCACTTGAACTGAAATACCGTTGCATGTTTAGCGAAACAATACCATTCACAAGGTTACGCTGTAAAGACAAGCACTGTTAAAGGAGCTGTGCAGCGTTTTTAACATTGAAAGAATTGGAATCTTCTACTTTTAAGATTGTTTATCTTGTCACGAAGGACAGAAAACACACCTCCTTCCTTCAAAATGTTGCGATTCCGCCGCGTAATCGCGAGGCAAAAATCAGAATATTCCCCGACCTGCAGCCGCGAGCGGCGGCCATGAGAACCACGCGGCATGACGTCAAAGGGGGTCTTGTAGAAAAATAGCAAGTTATGCAAATACCTGCTCGATAAAAGATAATTTCTCTATAAATCTTGTCGTTCCAACATCCATATAAATGCATCAAAAACCTGGTATCATTGACAAAACTTCTATTATACGGAGTTTTAGTGGCGCCATCTATCCTAGGTCCAAAAAACCGTCAGCTCTATCTGCTACCGCGAACGGCCGCCAGGAGCCGGAGGCGGACGGTGGCAGAGCCGGACTGGGATGGCTGGACCCGGATGAGACTTTCGTCCTTTCACCATATTGTTCGCGCAGCGCCAGCACGTGGTCACGCGGTTGCGAGCGGATGAGTTCTCGCTGCTTACTGATGGCTGTAGAGAGAGAGCTTCACCGAAATCCCGCGCGACCCCCATTGACGTCACAGCGCACGTGATTCGGAAGATGGTGACGGAGTTGAGAGGTGCCGAAAACCTCAATGATTGTCGATTTTATAAAAACTAATACATGCAGGAAAAAAAAAACTCCCAAATTATTTAAGCAAAGCACTGAAATTGTTGCACAGCCCCTTAAACGAAGGATTTTTGCACAACTATAAGACTCTGCAGATGGTTTCATATCACCGAGAGATTCGCTACTGCAGCAATGGTGACAACTATAAGATGTCAAGTGTTAACCGATCACTGGCCAATGAATGTTGGACTTCTGCACTTAGGTCCTCAAGCAGTGATCGCACCACGAGCGCGTTGTGTGAAAAATATGTTTCGGGTCAGGAATCTTGGTGTACTTGTCGCGTAGACTTTTTTGAATCCAAGGTCGACTCTTGTGTTGACATTCAACCGGTGTCTCTCGAGAGTTCGGCAAGTAAATGATCTTCATTGATTTTCTGTGGGCTGTAGCGTGCGCTTTGCTTTAAGACTCATGCCTTATTAACGAGTTCCATCATATTTGTAACCATTTGAAATGCAAATGCTGTACCGTACTTTTTTAACATCTGTTGCGTCATAATGTTATAATTTTTGTATCCGTAGTGTCTCTTGGCGTGTCAACAGGTAGGAGCCATTTCAGGGCGGCATGGTTCTTCGCAAGAGTTGCAAGATAATATATGTATATAACTTCTTCCTTGTCAATGTATATCGCCAGCTGTTGCAACACATGGACGGCATGAGAGCCTTCAATGTATTTCACTGAGTGCGTATTGTGTTAAATTATTGTTTTGTATTACTTGTACAGTAGCGCATTCTCTTTGCTTGGCTATAATGAAACACTGGAGGTAAACTATGTTGTCTCATTATTTTATGTTTTGTTTGTTATACCTCCTTTTTTTTTAATTCGTTGCTAAAACTAGGACCACGAACATAAACATCCGATGTGTTCTGTTCCACGGTAACAAAATAATGAAGGGCCTCCATGCGCAATTGTGATAAAAGTTTCAAGTGAACTGACAAAAGCGTATAAAATTCACCAAGCATAACAAAACCAAAACTATTATTGACACTTTTGGGATCTGTCGACTTGTACGTTATTGGCTGTAGTTGACGAAAACCATATTTAATAAACAAGTGAAACAATTTTTTTTTGTACTTTCTTCAAATAGCACTTAGAATTAATCATTGGCGCTTGTAACCTATAGGCAATATGCAAATCGTTTTTTTTTTCTTCACGCATTGACAGTCACGAAATAAATTAAAAGGAATAGGTAAAGTTAACCCAATCCCCCTCCCCTCATAGCCTGAACGAGTGGCCACGTTATCGGCTGTCGGCAAGGTACACCCCACGTCTACGTTAACACTGCAATACTCGCGATTGCACCATCAACTTTGTGATGACATTGACAAAAATGGGCCGCTTTTATCTTTGAAATCACCCCAGTAAAGGAGCTTCTGAGTTAGTGGCCTGGTGTGTGACTTTAGTGAGTGTGCCTAAGTAAAGTGAGCATTATTGCTGCCCAGTATCGTCGCACAGCCCCCTCTTTCAGATACAGCCATTAAATTTCTGCTAGACTATGGTTGAACAGGGCATTATTGAATTGAAGTTTATTTGACATATGAAATGTCGGGGAGGGAGGAGCAAAAGGTTGCCGAAAGAACCTGACGAGGCTCCATTCCCCTTTTCGGCTCTACACCAGTCGCAGCAGCAGTGTAGAAGTCATACATATAAAATTCAAGCTGAAAATATTTTCACAGAGACTGTTTTGACATAAATTAAACACAAGCTAAACACAAATTAAACACTACCTAAACACAAACCAGACACAAACTGGGATGATTTGCCTTAAATCGATTCATAAATGAATGCATAAAATAGTAATCATCTGAATCTGGAAAGCATGAAGCAGAGGCCCAATGTTTAAGCCGAGAGCGTAAAAATGTACTCTTTTATTTCCTTTTTTAAGCTCCGCAAAAAACAGCAATTTATAAAATCTAATACTTCTGAAAATTTAAATTCATATTCATCGCGCATTGAACGCCGAACTGTCATAGACGTTCGCGTGCTTAGGTTAATGAATAATCCCTGGTTTAGTAATAATAATAATAATAATTTACGTCGTTCGCCTTACCAAAAAAAGAAAAAAAAAACTGAATGTTTCAAGAAATCTCACCGCGGAAAAATCAGTGGCTGCGAAAGCCTCGTTGCGGCGTCTCTATCTGATCGAAAAGCTACCGATGCACCGTGGAACGTACGGGCGTATGAGCCTGCATCCACATGCAGCGTCACGCTTGTTTTGATATCGCTAGCCCGCGCTCCGCTCAAGACTTCAAACGTCTGCCACCCAGCCATTGGGGTTATTTTGGTATGTCATGTACTGATCTTAGGTAGTAACGCGATACCAGTAACACGTTACTGCAACTTCGTTACTTTTTTGGTAACTTGTAACTGTAACGAGTTACTTTTTAAAATTTTAACTTGTAACTGTAGTTCTATTACTTTTTTCGGAGGTAACTATGAAAGTAACGCCGTTACTTTTGTCGTTAATTCCCAGTTTTTTTGTTTTTGTTTTATGAGTAATATAACATTTAACGAGGACAACCTAGCTATTCTTTGCACTTTCCAAATTGTCTTTTCCGACATTTCGACTGTCAAGTTGGCCTTGCACAAACTTTCGAATACGTTCCTTCTCGAGAGCCACGAACCGAATATAGCCACGTGTAGATTTGATAAAGAAACATTTAGTTTTCTTTACGGACGCGCTTGTACTTTGTGACTGAACACTTACGTCTCAGTATATTGAAGCACTACCTATGTTGCGGTTTTTCTTTTTTCTGCGCAAACGCTGTTTAATCGGGTGAATCAACCATGAATCAGCAATACACGCGGAGGGCACTACGCATGTTTCGTATTTTGATTAACGCTACTACGCAATGCGTATGTTTCGTATTTTGATTAATGCTACAACGCAATGCGCATGTTTCTTATTTTGATTTCCGCCACTACTCCGGCGGGGTGTCAACAGTCGAGGAAAAATTTACTGGTTTGCGCAGGGTTTGTTTCTGGCTTGCCGGGGAAGAACTGAAATATGTCCAGCGACTCTATGAATCCAGCGCAACAGTCAACGAGCCAGCAATGTGCTAGTGCTACCAAGAATAGGTCTTTTGTATTGGGTCCGCGTTTGCCCTTGTGTTACTTCTTCCAGCGCGCCAGTTGAGAGCCTGTTCAGCAAGGGCAGGGACGTGTTCGCCATCAAACGAGGGAAACGTTCGGACAATACTTCCGAGAAGCAACTGCTGCTAAGTTACAATATGAACTAAAAAGCACACTTTTTAATTTTATGCAAAAAAACTTGGTGAGGGGCGTTTTCTAGTTTTTCCTGAATTTTTTGTGTTCTAGAAAAGTAACTGAGAAGTAACGTCTTTACATTTTAAAAGTAGCTGTAACTGTAACGCGTTACTATTTTGTTGTGGTAACTGTAGCGGTAACTTCGCTACTTTTTTTGAAAGTAACTGTAACTTAACAAATTACTTTTGAAAATTAACTTACCCAAGACTGGTCATGCAGCGCTCCCAGCGGTGCACGTCGACAAACACGATTAAAAACCATTACTGTTCATGTGGCGCCCCCTGTGTTATCACGCAACTGTGGCATGTCGTTACTCAATAGGGAAAGTGATGCGCTATAATGAGGTAGGCGTGCAATTTATCGCTATGCACTTTTCGTCAAATGCAATATCAGGTTACACTTTGCACTTTAATGTCTCAAAATATGCGTTAGTTCACACATGAATTTTACAAAAAAAAATGCTTTAGTTAACACATATGCGTGTTTCCAACACGAAGTAATGGTGTTTTAACTTTATCTTTTTTTTTTTAATTTGAAACCTAAAGAGTTTGTATAAATAATTATTTTTCTAATTTTCCATAGACTACGCATATAAAGTTTTGTATGAATTAAATAAATGTAGCTCGAGAAAATTAATGCTACAATTTAAAAGTCAGGACAACTAAAACGTGAATCAATGAAAGGCTGCTAAAGATAATCTTAACTTCTGGAAATTAAATTGTTAATAGGTGGCAGCTTTTTAATTTGATATAAGGGATATAATTCTACATAGCATACATGAAAAGTTTAAGGCTCTCGAAAATAAGCAAATTGACATGATCGGTGACTATCACAGTTCCCAGTGTAAAAATGCTCAGTATTGATGAATGAATGTGTGGTAAAACTGACGTCACACCATTCTTTCAAAGATCGATAAGGCCGGAGTCCATGTTTTTATTGTCATTCTTTATTCTTCTTTGTGTTTAGAAAAATGGTTAAGGAAAAATGCACTGGAGGGTTATCATTATCGTCCCGTCTCGAAAAGTTCACAAGCCCATTCTTCTGTTTCTAACAAGCTTTTAACGGAAAAAAAGTCTGAAAAACAGGGGGGAAATGTGCAGCTCAGACACGTCAGCTGCAAAGCTCTGCAGGCTTTAAACAGTTCAGCTGATGAGAACCAGGCTTGCTTTGAATGTGTAACGGAAGGTTTCAAGTTCATGGCAAAGCCCGGAGAACTCGGCGCAAGGCTATATACAGAGTGCGCTCTAAGACCGCCCACGAGTGCATCGAATTGCAGATATCGGCGGTTCAATGAACGTCGGAGTGACTTCACACACCAGGCTGTTCTTTTGAATAGGGTATCGAACTACAAAAAAACAAGAGCGTATGACGGCCTTTCAGGAGGTCTTGAACCTCAGATATAATCATATGGTAAACGAAATATTAATTATTGTTTCGAAAAGCTCACTCGCACAAACTGAGATTGACAGTAAACTTCAAAACAACACAGTCCACACCACCACCAGTTAGATGCAGAAGGCGAGGAAATGCAGGATACCTTCAACCCTGGTGTTCATGCCATGCCTACCACGCCGCCTTCCTACGTAAGAAAACGTGTTTCACATGTGCAACAAAAATTCGCTAAATTGGAGGTAGTAGACGCATCATCAAAAGTACATTGGTGTGAACTTGCACTGCTCTCTCATGAACGGCCGATTCATGCCTCTCATGTAGCGGTCACGCCCCTTGCATCCATAAAAAAAGTATCTCGCCAAGTTGTTCTGCACAATGAACTTCAAACTCTCACCGTAAGGTCTATAGACTTGTATATGAATTAGAGCTCTGTGTATATACTTTATATAAGTAAAAATGAACACCCTATAGCCGCATCACCGAAATTGCTGGTGCATGCAGTAAGCCTAGTGAAGGAGAGGTACTTTATATTTGTTTCCCCTACAAAATGTAATTCTTTCCTATCTGGACCTGTTTGTTCAGCTTGCTAGATTAAGTTAATTCGCTGTCTGCACAGCAGATCTATTCTGGTCGGGAGGTAGGCGCTGGGAGGTCGGCAGACGCGGATGGATACGGTAAGTGCTCGGAAAGGGGACGGGAAAAAGTGCAGTTGTGGACAAAGTAGAAGTCGACGTGCAAGTTTTCAGAAAGTACGCTCCCGCCAAAAAGTTCCCAAAGTCAACCCTTGCCCACTTAAGTACACTGTACGTCGTTTACAGGCAAAAGTACCTCGAGGAAGTGAGCTCCAACACAACAAAAACAACGAAGTGCTAATGCCACAACATGTAATGGTCAACAAAAGCGACAACTGATGTTCCTTCCAGTAAAACGTTTACATCAACACGTGCTTTTTAAACAAAATGTCAGTTCAGACATCCGACAAGCTGAGGCAGCACGGCCCCTAAGCATAAAAGTAGAGCCGGCGATACTTGCAAGAGCAGCCGTGAATTCATACTTCATCCCACAAGTGTTCAACTTGAGGGGAGAGGGTAGATAAGCGGCCAGTGGGCACAAAACCGAGAAATACTTGAATGCGGCTCATTTCCCCGCAGCAATCGAGAAAAGGGAAGCACCCTTTTCACCCTTGGCAGCGTTCGCCTTAAGGAAAACCCGACTTGTCAGATGTAGTACAATCACGCTCTGTAAGTTTCAGTATTAAAGTATACTCGAAGTATGTCCAGCTCTACTGCACCGAGCGCTTGCCTAAAGTGTTTTCTTCGGAGTATCATTCTGAGATATCATACTGGTGAAACCGAATGCGGTTTCCTATATTTAACAACATTAGAGTCTGGAAATTTAATTCATAAGTAGAATATATGGAGGGGTGGGCTTTTCATTGACTAGGAATACCCCACGTATTTTTCCTAGATACAGCATAGGAATCGAGCTTACTCTCCCATTGGAACAAGAAAACTCTGCAGCATTAGTTGATAAGTTGAAGTATAGCTGTGTACGGCTTTGGTGTGGAAACAAGCTAGAGTGCTTGTGTAAAGTGAACAACAGAATTAGGAGGGTCATGCAAGAAAACTACCTCTAAAGACAAGTTTACACATTGTCTTGTTGGCACTCAAAGCAGATGGAAAGATGGATGAGGTGCCTTCAGTTTGAAGGAGTGAATGCATTCAGATGTAGGAACCAAATGGTGCAAAAACAGTTGCAACCAGCAGAAGCACCATTTCCTCATAATTGAATTTCAAACAATCTCTTGAATTCTTGGTAGGAAAACGGAGTGTAATTGGAAAATTAAGCTAGTCGCTATCGCAACAAACACTTAGAAACATTTCTCCGATAGGAGTGTCCGGGCAAGGACCTCTGCCGACATCGCAGAGGTTAAGCGTTTCTCATAGAACTTGGCAGCAAACATTTCAACAAAATGAGCAAACTTCAGCTCGAAAGACAAAACTCGTCTTTTGGCATGGTGCATATCACTCACATCTTACAATCCCTCCCGCTCAGACGAGTGGTTAAGTACAGGCTCAAAACCGATCATGAACAGAGAACACTCCAGATCTCTAATTCCCTTCTCACATCTTTCCCATTGATCTTCACTTATACCCAGACGCATAACAGAACATTTATGAAATATTAAGCTGCAAAGATCATTTTCAATATGCCCTAATGATGAAAAAACTTGTGTGTTAATGGGATACACCATGACCCTTAAAAAAGAGGCCTTCTCGCAAGACCAATTTCTTTTCGCAAATGTGCAACGTCCTATCGGCACACACTTTTTAGGCACAGTAAGGAAGTGTATGGACAAATACATAATGTTGTGGTCAATTGGAAGATAGCAAAATGAAGTTTGTGGCAAATTTCACCAATTAGGGATCAATGTTCTAGGTTCATCTTGAGCATCTGAATTTGTTATGCCTTCTACCGAGCAGGGGTGATAAAAACAAACAAAAAAAAGCGACAAAGATGATCTCTGAAGGTAGGCAATAAGACAGTCACAAAAAGAGAAAAATTAGAATAGACACCCACAAATTCTTGACGCAAGGTTTGAAGAGTATAATAAATAAACAAGAAATCCAATTATAGCCCAAGAACAACAGCATACAAATTAAATGCACATAGAGCAGTGTTAATTCTCTGCGCAAGTTTCCAACAAGTGGTAAATATTTTGCAGTAATAAAAACAGTAACACTGCCAAATAACGTCAGCATCAATACTTTAGAAAGCACACTTTTCTGTGTACACCACATGCTGATCCTCCGCGGCACTTTGAAACACCATCGTCCGTAAGATGTGCAATGCCTGAACTTTCTTATTTTCCACTGGCATCATAACGTATAAAATTTCAATAACCACGCAGAACCTGTTACAAACGAGCGAGGAAGACCGTCGGACCACGACATTTGTTCGAGCAACTCCAGGGAAGGCTAAGCCTGGTTTTATGCAACACTTTGTCAACCTATCAATACAATTCGTTTTGTCTTTTCGGACAGAAGTTAGCACTCGCTCACACGAAACACCTAAACGAAAATCAGATGACCATGCGTAGCCACCCTACGGATTTCAGATTAAGGGGGCTACAATGTTTGCTGCATCATTCTCCATCCTCAACAGATGGTGACAACCACGATGTGCTTTCAACCCTTTGAAGGGTCTTCGTATTCATGTGAGCATATGCTACTGCAGTTGCTGTCACAAAGAGTTATTTCTTTCCAGCTTACAATCGTTCTTGCAAGCCTCAGGTTTGCCCGATAAGCACTATAACAGGGCTGCAAGCGAGCATTAGCTCGCGAGATCAAATGAAATGAGTTGAAACAAGCACAACAAAGAACATGACAATGATCTCTTTTGTTTGCATTGTCCTATTCTTCATCAATTTCTTTTTGAGTCATTTTACCACAAATCCCTCCAGCTCTCTTCACGTCTTAGCATTTGCTAGAGTAGCTGCATTAAGCATTCTTGGAGCCCACCAAGAGTTGGTGCTTGACCACTCATCCTCAAAGTACTACTACAAAGTGGGCTTCAGACCGCCGCGGTAGAATGCATGTTGGTAAACCCCGTTCTTTTGTGCAGTTTTGCTCAATTCGGAACATCTCTCGGTACACTGCAGTCGATGACACCACCGGAAGAGGAGCAGTTGCAAATGGAACATTGGATCATCTCCTCCCAGCTCCAAACCAGTCTGCACCTTGCAGATGGCTCGGCCGTCAGGAGGAACAAGAAGCGGAAGTGCTAACGCAGGAAAGCAGAACAAAAGAGGAGGCAGAGGAGAAAGGCCCCACACTGAAGAAAGGGGGCGAAGGGGCAGCGGCTAGCTTCCCCCATCCCCTTGGGCGACATCTTTTCGGTGTGGGGAGACAATCTCCCGCACGGGCAGGTGCTTCTGCAGTGGGTCCCTGAGGCGCTGAAGGTCCTCCTCAATCTGGGCCATCTCGTCTCGGAGCTGGTTGTAGCGTCCCACGTCCATGCCTTGCCGGCGGGCATACTTGTAGAACGAGATGAGGAACTGGCGGTCCCTCACATCCGGGAGCTGGTAATCCTGCGTGGGCATAATAAACACGAAAGAGATCGTAATGGTTACAAGAGAGTTCTTAAGGGATACGAGAGAAATCGCAATAAAGCAAGTGGGTTCTTAAAGAATGCGAGAGGTATCACAGGGGATACAAGATGGATCGTAATGGATACGAAAAGGGTCGTAATAGATACAAAAGAGATCCTAATGGATACAGCAGGAATCATTATGCATGCAAGAGTTATCGTAATGGATACTAGAGTAAGTCTAATAGACACCAGAAGGGACGTAATATATACAAGAGCGTTCGGAAGCGGTGCGACAGACTTCGTAACGGATATGAGAAGGCTCTTAGGAGATGCGAGAGGAATCGTGGTAAATACGATAGGGAACGTAAGGAATATAAGACAGCTTGTAAAGGATACGAGACCAACCGTAATGGATACGAGATGGACCGGAATGGATATGAAAAGGATTGAAACAGTTACAAGAGGGTTTTATCGGATACGAGAGGGATTGTAATGGGCAGAAAATGGATCGTAAAGAACACGAGAGATTGTAATAAGGGATACGAGAAGGTTCATAATGGATACAATAGGTTCCGTAAGGGATGCGAGAGGGATCGTAATAGACACGAGAGGAATATTAATGAATACAACAGGAATCAATATATGTGAGAGGGATTGCAATGAATACAAGAGGAAATGTAATGGATTCTAGAGTAAATGTAGTGGATATGAGATGAATCCTAATAGTATACGAAAAAGATCGTAATCTATGTGAGAAGGTTTGAAAGGGACGCGACAGCGTTCGTAAGGGACCAAAAAGGTTCTTAAAGAATGCGCGAGGTACCCGAATGATACAAAAGGAACCTGAAAGGATATGACACGGTTCGTAAGAGATGCGCGAGGGATCGTAAAATATACTAGAGGGATCGCGATAGATACGATATGGATCGTAGTAGATGCGGGAGGGATCGCAATAGATACGAGAGGAATCGTAATCGATACTAAAGTGATTGTAATAGATGCGGGATTGATCGTAATAGATGAAAGAGGGATCGTAATGGGTGTGGGAGGGATTGTAATGGATACGAGAGGGATCGTAACGAAGGCGAGAGGGATCGCAATGGACACTAAAGGAATTGTAATGAATATGAATGTTCGTGACGGATAAAAAAAAAAAAAAGAGTATGGAACGGATACGATAAAGTTCGTAAGGGATGCCAGAAGGTTCGTAAGGGATGCAAGAAAGTTCGTAAGGGATGCGAGAGGGTTCATAAGGAATGCGAGAAGGTTCGTAAGGGATGCGAGAAGGTTCGTAAGGGATGCGCGAGGCTTCGTAAGGGATACGAGGGGGATCGTAATAGATACGAGAAGAACCATAATGGATATGAGAGATCGTCAGGGATGCGAAAGGGATTGTAACGGATACTAGACAGATAGTAAGAGATGTGAGAGGGATCATAACGGACACGAGAAATCGTAAAGGGCACGAGGTGTCGTAATGGATATAAAAGAGTTCATAAGAGATATATGAGAGTTTGTAACGGATACGAGAGAAAATGAAATACGAGAAGGTTCATAATGTATATAAGAGGGACGGAAATAGTAATATATACAAGAGGGTTCATATTGAATGTGAGAGATCACAACTGATACAAGAGGATTCTTAATTGGCACAGGAGGGTTCATAACGAATTCAAGAGGGATTGCCTATGAGGCCTTTTGGAACTCGGACTACAACTTGTGCAGTAGGTAGTTGTCTTTCGTTTTTTGTGCACTTCATAGAGTCCTTAAGGGTTCATTCAATGATAACACATTTTTTATGTTAACTGTAATTGTCACATTCCTGTGACGATGACGATGGAGAAAATACAAAGAAGGGCAGCAAGCTCCTGGTAAAAGGCGAGCGCGAGGAAGGGAGAAGGGCAGTATTCAAAGCCAGCAGTCGGACCGCGACGCACGGTTACAGTCCGAGCTCCAAGGAGAACCAGCAGCAACGGCCGGCAACGGACGATCAGTCATCGCGGTGCATCAACAAAACGGTGCCGCTACGAACAGTCCCAGTATAAGCGTGCTGCACCTGCAGCCATATCATATTTAGACCACCTTTCAGTGAAATGGACACTGCTGCTAGCAAAGCGACTAAATGAAAAAAATAATTAGGATTATTACCGCATATACTAAACAAAAAAAAAAGTAATCTCACACACCCTAGTGAAGAACCAAGGGTTAATATATAACCTCCGAGTATTCTTAAAACACCACTGGCATCTCAGTTTGATGGTAACAACTCTGCAATGAAAATTTGTTGGAATACCGGCACTTCGGTTGTTGCTTGAACTAAATGGGGATCCCCATCCGAGGAACACTTACGCAGCTCCGAAGGAAGGTGCCCTATGCACTCACCTGCCTGGTGACAACGAAGTAGGCATACATGGCCATGGTGGTGCCATAGGTGATAAAGTAGGTGACCGGCTCCATGATGTCCCAGGAGTACTCCCACCAGGTCAGGCGGGCCAGGATACCAAACTGCATGCCCATCAGGCCCAGCCCCAGCCACGAGAGCAGCGTCGTGCGGCGCCCAGAGAGAGACATCAGCTCCTGCTTCTTCTGCGAGGGTCAGATAACAGCTGCTGGGACTATGTGCCTACAACAGCGCACTAAAGGGAGGCTAGAAAGTAGTCTCGTGCATGCTAAGAATAGCAGTAGTGCCTCCTCCCACAAAGCCCTTCACTTTTTGCTCTTTAGCAGAGCAAACACTAAAGAAAGGGCAAGTAGAGAGGAGAAAACCATCAATCATGGCGAGCATAGAGTTTCCTGGGAGTGTTCTTTCCAGAATCGGTACAAAAACCGGTCGGGCCCCTGACCTGTTCGAGGGGTGCGATCTGCTCCTTGATCAGGTGAAGCCTGTCGAGCAGCCTCCGCTCCTGCTCCAGCTGGAACTCGCTCACGGTCAGGCTCTCATACAGCTTGGCCACAAGCACCTTCAGGTCGGACAGCGTCTCCGCCTCTTCCGTCGTCAACCGTTCTGAGAAGCAGAAACGAAGGGTTGCACAGAGAGACAAGCTAACCCCCGTGTGTCTCAGTTGTTGAGACTTCATCCTTGTCAAGGACTCACTGCTACGCGAATGGCAGACAAGAGAAACTTGCGGATCTTTTTGTTTGCGCCATATTTTAGACTTACCCTTATACTTCGAAGGAAAATAGACTACTTCAATGTCCTATTTTTTACATGATCGTAGTAACCTGCCATGTTTCTTAAGCTAGCAGTTTTGATAAAAGCAAAATATGGGGCTTCTCCATGCCCAACCAACGAAGGACATTTGGCAGACTCATGAGAAGGATTGGGGATTACTTTGGACCTCTCGAGGGTCTTTTCGCATGCAACCGAAATCTCGGTTACACGGCGCTTTCTCCGCTTTAAGCTTCTGTCCGACTGCAGGCAGCTCGAAGCAGTTTTGATGTTTCACTGATGTACTAGTTGCACAGATTGAAGTGAAAAAAATTAAAAAAAAAAAATCATGCGCTTCTTTTTTTATCTACATGTAAAACTATTTAGATCAACTGCGAGTCACCGAAAAATAAAGGCTGTCTTAGTACAGAATTCACCTCATCATGCTCCCGTGGTGCGCACACTTCACCGCACTTCACAAAGAATCGCTCTCAAAACGTCCACCTCCAGCAATAGCACAGGGTTTTAAGTGGGTGATTTCAGATAAGATCGACCAAAGGGTGGCTGGTCGACATTTTTAAATCAACTGATGTTTTTATATGACATTGTCTAGTGTCTGGTATAAACGAATCCACACTTAGTTTTGACCAGAAAAAAAATTTGGAGACAAGAAAAATCGTAAGGCAGGGAGAGGTGGACAGTTGCAATAACGCGCACTGATGGAGGGGACAAGTTTGAAAGTGAATAATTAAAACAATAAAATTAGGAGAATTTTAAAACTTTTTACAAACAAACTATGGGTACAACTTGCTTGTAATATAAAGTAATAATATTTATTAAAAATGCATTTAGTTTTCTAAAAATTGCCAAACATGCCGGCTCGAACGACAAATGGCAAACTTTGGAAATCTGTATCTCATGAAATAATTTAATCATTATTACATAACTTGCAGACATTATTTTACTAATATATGGCTATTATTGAAAAAATAAATAAGGTATCTGAGTGACACAATAGTTACAATATATTTAGGCAAACATGGGAAAAAAATCAAACAAAGAAAAATTCCAATGCGAATAAAAAAAAAAACACCACCTTCGATTTTTTTTAAATGTGGGTACCCTGTTATACTCTATTTCGGCATTCATTTCTATTAAAAACATGTTGCATCATTGCACTGTGAAAGAAGAAACAACTCCCCAAAGTAGGGTCCTTTTTCAAAGCCTACACTTAGCAGTGCCCTATACAAGAAGTGACTCTGAGTTCCAGTTTCATGAAACTTGCACAAATCTTTTATATACATTTATTCAGATGAGGTCATTGATAAAAAGAGCGATCGGTCACACAGTAAAAGGGAGGAGAAACTATATACAGCATTTTACATAAGCGTACAAAGTGGTATCATATTAGAGACTAATGATTTGAGAAAAGATGATGCAGTGTGAAGTTGTACCTTCCGGTATATTTTACATATAGAGTAAAATAAATAACTTTACTTCCACACACAAAAACAAAGATATAATAGTAAGATATTTAGGTTGGCTGTGTATTTACGATTACAAACAATTTCAGGTGACGGATGCCATAGTGCCTAACTGGAGCAGCTTCGACGCTCTCGGTGTATGAATGAATCGTGGCAAGCCGATATATTTTATCCTGCTCGAGGATAACATTTTGGGATTTTTTTTATAGTGATCAGATAAACATTATTAGTAACCACCAACAAAAACAGTAGGTTAAATACCCCGTGAAGAAAAATGTGATAAATAAGATGTCCCTGCATTCAAAATGAGCAGTCCTTGGGAAATCAAATTCGGCACTTTACGCTAAGGTTTTCCTCGCTGTACCCATTTAATAAAGTTGCTTCCAAGCAGATCCGACTGTCCGTGCTACATATACGTCACAGGTCCCTTCTGTTGATGACTTGCTGAGCCGCCACGCGTGCCAAGACTGAATGCCAGGGGAGGCGCGCACCGTCAGCCACTCTTCTTTTTTTTTGTTCACGATACCGAACAACCTCATTTTCGTCCAGATATACAAGATGCACGCCTTTCAGTTTCTTTGATAGAACGCTCACCATTGTCCTGGCCGTCTGAATTGCGCTTACTGAACGTTCTCTCAGGTTGTTCAGCGTGGCCTGGTGCTTCACGAGTCCGCCAACTCCGTCACATGCATTTTTCCCATGTCCAGATGCAGAAAATAACCACTGGGCTTGTGGGCAATCGTCCTTTGCAAATTGGTGAAGCTGGTAGCGATTCTTGAAATGACTGGCGGCGCCGTCACTTACGTACGTCACGTACGAGTATACCGCAACGTTGTCTTCAACCCACTCCTTCACTTTTTCTAGAGCCAAGCAAGCGTGAGCGGCGTCGTGACACAGGTCCTCACTGATGATGGCAAAGCTGTTTGTAGATTTTCTTGTCGTCACTACACATGTAAATATCGAAACTTGTTCTTTTCCAGTGATATGCTTGCACTTCGTCAGGAAGCACGATGGTCCAGTTTTCAGCAAAGTCAAAATGAAAGACAATGCTCCCGCGTTGCATGCACTGTTTTTCATCATAGATCGCTTTACCTTGCGTTTGCCGGATATGGTTGTGAAGTACCCAACTTCCAACCGTCACTTGGATGACTTTTAGGAAAGTCTCAGGTTCCAAAGTTTTTTTCACAAGGTCGCCGGACTCTTATGTTGCAAGCACAATATCTTCATCCTCCGGGATATCAAGTTCCTGGAGTGTAAGAAACTGGCCTTTTGGGCAGTGATCACAGTCTCCTTGAAGGCACAGTTCTGTTGCTGGGTCGCACAGAAATGCCGAGTTCATTTCACCAGTGTTGAATGTTGAGCCTGTAACGTTCTCTAGAGCGGCAATACAAAGATAATAATTGGCGCAGCGCACACAAACGCACACTTCCTGGTGTGGAATACATTGGACCCATCTAGGGCGCAACGAATAAAATTTCGTTAGCCCAACGCCGGAATCGGGATGCTTGTCTTTGTATATACGGAAGGCCTTTCGTATTGAGCGTGTCATGAAGCGCTTTGGCACGAACGTTTTCTCTCCGTTGAGCATGACAGAGATGACGTCCTTCTGGTTGGGACTTTGGCGCGAACATTGTAGCTCGTCTTTCGTGAAGTACTCTAGGGCAGCAGACAGGTTCTCAGGGCTCACCTTGCACCTCGTGTAAGGATCCGGCTCATACCACACGCCATGCTTTTCCTTGAGTTTTCGGGATTTACTGATGAGGTACATTGAGGCCTGTGGAATCATCTTTTGAACCTCATTCTTCGTCAGTGTTGACGGCAGGAGTGTAAGCAGTTGACAACGTTCCCGGAGAGAGGTGGCGGTTTCAAAGGCCTGCCGAAAGTTGTCCACCCACTCAGTGCATGTGGAGCATGTTGGTTCGGACGACCCCGATGGTGCGTCCCTGTCGTACGCAATACGTAGCCTTGAGCGTATATTCTTGACAGCAACCTGCTCCAGTTCTGTCTGCTTTCTCTTGACATAGGCCTGTCCCGACTTCTTACGACGCTTGGTTGTCTCAGCGGCGACACATCTGTAGGTAGTATGCTGCGATTTAGATCTTCAATTGCTTCTTCAGCTGGCACAAATATGTCAGGGCACTGCTCTGAGCTTCGCATCGAGATCTCCTTAGTGATGTGCATGAAGCAATGGTAGCACAGGTAGTCCGTCGCACTCACTTTGGTGGAACAGTCAGGCGGAAGAATTTGCTTCAACGAGTTTAGGTCCAACTCGCCAACACTTCGAAAATTCCGCTGCTTTGGTATAGTCTTTTTGTGTTTGCAAAAGTAATCTGCACAAAACACTCGTTCGGAGCTCCAGGACGTCTTCATAATGTATACATAAATAATAGAAATTAAACCCCAACTGATGGCATATAATTGCCAAGTGAAAGAACTACTGGGTGCACAAGTGACAAGTCCGAGGCTGAGGAGCTCACTCACTGCAAACGTACATTTGAAAAGAGAGGTCACAACTGAGGCTGTCGGCAAAGCTTGATCCACGTCAAAGGAAGAAAGAGGGAAAGTCTCCAGACAAAAAATTGTGGTCAGCGGCCTTCGAAAAAGACTTTCCGGAATCGCACTGTCGTCCCTCCACGCGCTGATATGAAAGCACCCGAGCTTCTACCACGTGGTTCATGACAGCCTGAGCCATGTCGGCGACCGGTTCACGAGGGGTTGGCGGTGGGGTTACGTTGATGGTCACTCGGATTAGCCCTTGCTGTACTGAGCTACCGCCTGCAGTGCCTTATCGCCGGCTGGTGTCAACAACGAGAACAGACACACCCTGTCTACACCAAAACTACAAGCGTTCACCGCACACGCGTCGCCGCCGCTTTTAAGCTTTTGTGAAATTGCTTTCTTTTGCCGCGGAGAACCGCCTTATCTTAACTACGCGCCTGAAATCCTTCCAGGCGGGCGTACACAATATCAAGCGTTTCGAGAAATGCCCGTGGAGTAGAACTATGGGAAAATTCGGAGCCCGCGATGTCGATATCGTCGCCGTTGTGTTAGTACGCCGTCGCGTACTGCAGTCCCCCGTTGGGGGAGGGGGGGGGGGGGCGGTCTTACTACGATAACATGGCGACAGCGTTTACACTCTATGTATTTACGCGAGGCTCGAGTATTTGGGGATAATGCTGCCGGTTGGTGTGCCCCTTTGTGCCTGATATTATCGCCCGTGACGCCAGCGAGTGAGATGGCGACAGGCATGACTGCTCAGTAAACAGGCGTCGGCGGCCATGTTTTGCTGGTTGAAGCGAACCCCCTTGTCCTTGACAGCGAGCGGGGAAATGCGAAAAAAAGATTGTATCGGCCGTTTTGCCAGAACTAGCG